AAAAAAAAACAGTTTCTGCTATTTTTCTCTATCTCAAATATATTATTTATTAATAAGCCAAAAGCAATTAGTTAGAAATAATATTTCAATTAGTTAGAAATAATCTGTGCCGGGCACTGTAACAGTGTTTTATATGCATTCCCTGGTTTAATTCTTATCACATTCTAATGTTATTGCTAGTTGTCTGTGAGTCATGGCAAACCCACGTACAACCGAATAGAACAGTGTCTGGTCCTGCGCCAGCTTTGTAATCATTGGTTTATTTGAGCCCGTTGTTGTGGCCATTGTGCCAATCCATCTCATTGAGGGCTTTCTAAGCTTCACCGGCCCTTTACCAAACATGATGTCCTTCTCCAGCGATTGCTCCTTCCTGATGACGTGTCCAAAGTAAGGTAAAGTCTCAAATGATATTCTGTGATTCACAGGGTTTTCACTGGCTTATTTGTGGAAGTAGATCACCAGACCTTTTTGCTAGTGTCTGTTAGTCTAGAAGCTCCACTGAAACCTGTCCACCATGGGTGGCCCCACTGGTATTTGAAATACCAGTGGCAGAGCTGCCAGCATCATAGCCACGTGTAAAGCATCACAGCATGACAAGCTGACAGGTCATGGACGTTGTTATAGAAAAGGTTATTTTACACATAAGGAATCTGAGGCACAAAGAGAGGAAGCAACTTCCCCAAGGTTGCACAGCTGGTCAGTAGCAGAGACAAAATACAAACCTATTTTGTCTGATGCTGATGGTCTTACAACACCCCTCCCATCCCATACAATTTCCTGTTTTTCTCTCTTTCTTTGACTCTTGGTCTTTTAATCTGCATCAATTTTCCCCCCCCTTTCTTAAAAGAAAAACTTATTTGTTTTCTAATCTTTCCAACTACCACCCAACCTATTTCCTTCCGTGTATGGCTGGACTTGGACTTGAATCTGTACGATATCCATCTCCTCGCTGGCCATTTTGTCTTTAAATTTCAGCCATTTGCTTTCTGTGCCTTCTAAATTTTCTTACACTCACTACTGACAAATTCACAGAGATGCCTCTATCCTTCTTTTCCTTACGCTCAGCAGAGTTCTTTGTAATATCTCTCATTCCTTTCTTCTTGAAACTATTTTCCCCCGTAGGTGCTAGAACACCTCGCCCTCCCAGCACGTTCCTGAGTGCTCCCGAGTTCCTCCTGAGCTTCCTCCTTTCTCTCTTGCCAGTTCTGCTTCCAAGCTCTGCGCATGCTGCTAGAAGTGTTTTTTTTGTTGTTTAGTTTTTTTTGTTGTTGTTGTTCTCTGCTGTTATCTTTCAATAGGGTGCCTCAGTTTACTTACTCTTCATGTTACAATTTTAATTATCCTGATAGACTATAATAGCTATCTCCCAGTCTTCATCTCCACTCATCCTTCAAGACCAATTTAAAATTCACTTTGAAGACATTCTTGCTTCAGTGACTTATTGCCAATTGAGATTTCACACACCAAACCGAGCAGTTGCCACTGACTCAGCTCCGCAGCACAGCAACCCCATGAGTGTCAGAGTAAAGCTGTACTTCGTGGGGTTTTCAGTGACTGACTTTTCACAAGTAGATCACCAGGCCTTTTTTCTGAAGTGCCTCTGGGTAAACTTGAACCACCAGTCGTTCGGTTAGCAGCCAAGCATGATAACTGTTTGCACCACCCAGGGACTCCATTGTACATATACATACCCCAAAACACCCCTTCCCTGCTCAACCGGTCACCTTCAACCACTGCCTCCTTTTGAAGCACTCAGTAAAGAAGATACACAAAGGATTCATTCTGCTGTCGGTCGAAGCCTTTTGCCTGACTCCCATCTCTCCAACTTTCTAGGTTTCTTTGTTCATGAAAATAAATGCCAGCCAGGCATTAAGTTTACAGAATTAAAAATGAAGCCTCAGTTTGGCAGAACCTCAAAAAGTTAAACACAGAATTATATACGATCCAGCAATTTCACTCCTGGGTATATCCGCATAGAATTGCAAGCAGGAACGCAAACAGAGACTTGTACACCAGTGTTCGTTACAGAGCTATTCGCAATAGTCAAAAGGTGGAAACGGCCTAAATGTCTATCAAGAGATGAACGGCTAAACAAAATATGGTACATACATACAATGGAATATTACTCTACCATAAAGAAAAAGGAAGTCCTTTCACAGGCTACAACATACAACGTGGGTAAACCTTGAAAAACATCATGCTGAGTGAGCTAAGTCACTCACAAAAGGACAAATAATGTACGACCCCGCTTATGCGGAACATCTAGAATAGGCAAATGTATCGAGACCAGTGATTATCAGGTTATCAGGGGCAGGTGGGAGGGAGGAGAAAGGGGGGTTTAACGCTCAGGGCACACAGAGCTTCTGTTAAGGGTGATGAACAATGATCAACATAATTAATGTCACTGAACTGTACATATGAAGAATATTGAAATGCCAGTGTTGATACCTATACTTACAATACAAAGAAATAGAAAAAAGGGGGGGAGGGAGAGGATTACAATGAAAACTCTGGCTGACAAGGTTGATAGGAACTACTGTGACATATTTGATAAAAGTGCTTTGAATTTGAAAATAATTACAGAAAAAAAAAAAGTGAAGTCTACTGGTGATGACGTGAGAAAAGGCCACTAGGAAAAAGCCTGCTGAATGCACCTCAGCACAGCGCTAGTACTCAAGTCCCCAGAGAGTGGGGACTTCTGTCCTGCTCACCTCCTAGTCTCCAAAGCTGGTGTGAATCGAGCAATAAGCATTCCATTGAACCACTCATTCAGCAGGCTAGCAGGGACTCTGAACGTCCTGTGCAAGCGGATGCTGACACTTGTTCGGGAACATTCTCAAGAAAACACACAAATGATACTGATCTGAAACGTAAGTGGCAGCAAAATTCTGTAAGTCAGGGCTTGAAATGATACAATTCAGGGTTTTCCAGTCTGAGCACGACTTACCTCTCATCTCCAATAGCCCCAACGACTTTGTCAAAAACACAGCTAAGTGAGGAACAATGGTGGTGGTTACCTCTGCGCCCCCACAGCTCCCCCCGCACCCCCAGTGGCTCTGAGCTGGAAATTCACACAGAAACTTAGACTGAGGCAAAAGAGCAGCAACCCTAACATTTTGCTCTTTTGTTTGCTTTTGTTTCTTGGGAAGAAGGACTGGGAAGCAGGAGGAGGAATCCAAGTTCCCAAGCCTCTCCCCTGCCCTCCTTTTATCCGGTGGTCTTTAGGGCACCAAAGGAAATCTTTTTTTAGAAATGACCTCCTTTCTGCTTTTCCTCTGTCAGCTCACCGCCAGTCACGCAAACCGAGGCTGGCGGAGGCTCCGACCCATTTCGGTTGGGAGGCAGGAAAACAAAGATTGCGGAGCGTGGCGCTGCGGAGCGTGGCGCTGCGGAGCGTGGCGCTGCGGAGCGTGGCGCTCCGGAGCGCTCAGGGGCAGGTGACACGGTTGTGCGTTCCCGGGCGCTGGCTTGACAGTTTCATCCCCGCCCACTCGCAGGAGAGCGCCAGGCCCGGCTGCAGGCGCGCGCAGGGGGCCAGAAAGGCTGCGGCAGCGCCGAGACGCGGAGCTCGCCCACCTCCGGAGCAGCGGCCGCGCCATGCACGTGAACGGCAAGGTTGCGCTGGTGACCGGCGCGGCGCAAGGCATCGGCAGAGCCTTTGCGGAGGCGCTGCTGCACAAGGGCGCCAAGGTAAGCGCGGCGAACGGCCGCAGAAACTGCCCGCTCTGGGACTGGCTCCCGAAAGGTAGGAAGGCTGCGCCCGAGGTGCCCACCTGCCACTTCTAAAAGCTGCTGAGGTTCAGGAGCTTGAGCAGATCTCAAAAGCGCCTGGGAGAGAACCTGAACTATAATTGCACAATTTCAGGTCCGAGAGTGGCACGTTTTGCTTATTTATTGTTTGTCCGTCTGTCTGTCTGACGAGCTTTACAGGACCTCGATTTCTCTCTCTCTACTTGTGTCCAGGTAGCGCTGGTGGATTGGAATCTTGAAGCAGGTGTGAAGTGTAAAGCTGCTTTGGAGGAGCTGTTTGAACCTCAGAAGACTCTGTTCATTCAGTGTGATGTGGCCGACCAGAAACAACTAAGAGGTAAGACGGGGAATCAGTCCATCAACGCTGAACGTGCCCTGAATGAGCAACAACGCAAAGGCGGCCGGGGCCAGGGAGTGCAGGCAGCTGGGTTGTCTCTTGGAGAGCAACTACCTTCAAACTTCAAACGATAAGTTGGACTGTTATGTTTCCTGCTGACACCCCAATAGCCATAAAACCTAAAGGAAGCCAAGACGGCTTGAGAAATCCTTTTATTTTAGCCATTTGGCAGCACGTAATGTAATCAAAATTCCTTTGTGTATCCAAAGACAGTGTTGCTCTAGTAATTATTAAGTGATTAAGATTGCAGACTGAACTTGGAAAGTTAAAATAGGCAAAAGGACTGTAGCAGGCAACTTCTTCCAGAAACCTGGAAGACACAGAGTCCATACTGACAATCAAATGTAAGCGTGTTTTTCTTTTAGAATACAAGTTCAAGGCTAATGGCTATGGACGTGCTGGATGCTTTTCTCCAGATGTTCTCTGGTTTTTCCCCTGTGAGATGCTACTTAAAAAAAACAAATACTAGCTGTACTGCTGCGTGCAGAAGGAAGGTCTCTATCAAACTTTCTCAAGCCTTTCCTGCTTCCGCCTTCTCACTCAAAATAGCGCAGTCTTCTTGTGAGCTATCAGGGGTGATATTGGGATAGACAATGGACAGATTTGTTCATATAGAGGCCCAATAGATTTGCATGAAAAAAATACATTTTTTCCCAGGGGAAAAAAAAGAAAAAAGAAATGTTTATATGTCACAAAGTTTTATTCCAAGAGACTGAGTAAATTGTTAGGCATGTTTTTAATCAGGGAGTCAATAAAATTTCCTTTAGTCCTCCAGTGTTATTACAAGCACTTGGAGGTGTGAATTTCTTTTAGAATTTTAAGACATTGTGTAAGAGTAAAAATGGACTGGTGTGTTAGAAGGCAGTGTTTTCCTGCACTAAAGGCAAATTATCTTAGAGAGAAGTATGCAATTAAAATTGGAAAATTCTGATAAAGACCTATAACATGGATTACAAACATGAGTAGAACAAATCTGTAAACACTGTGCTATTTTCCCACAGGGTAAGGACTTGTTGGTTGCACATGATACCTTTGTTCAGGAATAGTCATGTAAAATCCCAGCATTCATACTAATGGAATAGAGAGCAGCGTAGGTAATCTGAAAGCTATTTCTGTCTCAATTTATGTAGTTCTACACATGACATTTAACCTTCATTGTTTTGCTTCCCAGTATTTAAAATGAGTGCCTTGGCTATAAACACATTCCTTAAGGCTAAATAGTGACTGAGGAGGAGGAATCGGAGACACATAATAAGTGACTGGGGCAGGCTGGCTGGTCCATGAGAAATCCACGTGTTGTTTGGGCAATCAGCATTTAGTTGCTTCTAAGGAAAACATGACATTGTTTCTGTCAATGTCAAGACTTAATTCTGCCTACAACTTTTTAAACTGTTTATGTATGCGGTCAGAGGCAACTTCATTGAAATAAAAATACAGAGGTGAAAGGTTCTTGTGGATTATCTAGAAATAGCTCCTTTTACAAATGAGCAAATTGTAGCACAGAGAGTTAGGGTAAATTATATACAATATCACAGCATATAATGTAAGGGCCAGGGCTAGACTCTATGTTGCAAGACTCAGCAGCATGTGAGAAATAAAATGATGCATTATACATTGGTTAGGGCAAAGGATAAGGAATGCAGTGGAGACCAGAATGAGGAATGGATATTTAAGAAGAAGCAATTAGACAAACATATTTAAGAATCTAATTTTCAGTAAGAAGTGGCTGTTGACATGGAATTCTGAAGAGCAGAGCATATTTAAGATGAAATGCAAGAAACGTAATTTTAGTATTCCCTACATGTTTTCTACTGATGTACATTTATCTAAACCAATTTGACATCCCCAAAACCAAATCCACTGCCATCGAGTTGACTCCGACTCATCGCGACCTTACAGGACAGAGTAGAATTATCCCATAGGGTTTCCAAGACTGTAAATCATTACCAAAGCAGACTGCCATATCTATCTCCAACGGAGTGGCTGGTGGGTTCGAACCACCAACCTTTCAGTTATCAGCCGAGTACTTTAACCACTGTACTACCAGGGCTCATTTTTGTCATCTTGAGGAGCAGTTAAAAAAAAATTCCATGGAAATGGGGAACCCAAGGTCAAGAAGGGGAGCGTGTTGATATGTTGCAGGGTTGGCAACCAACATCACAAAACAATATGTGTATTAATCGTTTAATGAAAAACTAATATGCTCTGTAAACCTTCACCTAAAGCACAATTAAAAAAAAATTTTTTTCCATGAAAAAGTAAAGCAGTTTTTAGTATTGTTATTATTGTTTCCATTCCAGTACAATCCATGTAAAGATGCATATTTTAAAGTCATGACGATGCCTTTGGCAATTAATCTGAATAGTCATTTATCCATTTGGGAACTGATTAACTCATGCCCTCCTAAATATGTATGGTAGTTGTTAATAGTTCTATGATTTTGACTCAATTAAAATAAAGTTTATGTTGATCTGCTTTTTAAAAGGAATTCGTACATTGATCTGGAGATCTGGGAACACATTTTCCATCATGTGGAAGAAGAACCACAATTGTTATCCATAGTCTCAAGTAACAGAAGTAGAACCAATGGTAAAAGGCCCAGAGAAACAGTTTTAAATTAGTAAACTAAACCAAACCCATTGCCGTTGAGTCAATTCTGACTCATAGCGAACCTATAGGACAGAGTAGAACTGCTCCATAGGCTTTCCAAGGAGCGACTGGCGGATTCGAACTGCTGACCTTTTGGTTAGCTGCCAAGCTCTTATCCACTAAAAGCTGCTTGGAGAAACAATGAATTTCATGACGCTAAGGTGGTAAAGCACAGGTTGGACTGGTTAAGAAAGGTTTGCAAGGACCGGATAAGTGGCTAGATGGCGTAATGGGTGCCTTTCATGCCTCAGAATCTATGCAAACTTTATCTGGTTGAACATAATTTTTGTTCAAACTATTAATAATGGTGAGAAAGAAAAAAATAAAATAGTAAACATTCAACCGGCACGAATCAAGTAATATCAACTGGATGAGAAGTAGACTTTTCACTTTTATTTAGTCCTAGAATATCAAAAATCCCTGAGTGAGCCTAATGGATCTGAATACACAAGGAGGCTTGTGTTACTATAGCACTTTGTGAACATAATATGGTTTAGTGAACAGGATGTTTTCCATTCTAAACCACAGGGGTCCAATATCCTCTTAGAGACAGAGAGATAGATGCTAACTGCCCCAACTGACTTCAAAGAGCTCTTACTTAGCATGCTTGGTTCTCTAAAATTTAGTCCGTTAAATGGCTGCTTAGAGGACTTTTGTGTGCATACAAATCATCTAAGGATATTGTTAAAGTTCAGATTGTGGTGCAGCAAGTCTGTGGTGGTCCGAGATTGTGCGTTTTTAACAAGCTTCCAGGTAATGCCGACCGATGCTGCTGATCCGCAGACCGCATGTTGAGAAGCAAGGTATTGAGTCTAAAGAATTGAGGTTAGAGAATAAAAATCATTTCATGACATGGGATATGATTCATATATACATATGTAAAGTAAGATGGTATCCATGATGTCTCTCTTTTTTTTAATTAGATACTTTTAGAAAAGTTGTAGATCACTTTGGAAGATTGGACATTTTGGTCAATAACGCTGGAGTGAATAATGAAAAAAACTGGGAAAAAACTCTACAAATTAATTTGGTAAGCTCTCTTAGCCATGCTTTCTACCTAAAAATACTTAAGAAAATGATATTTATAACACCACCGAAAGTTTCTTATGTTCCTAGAAACAAAATAAAAACCTGTAATGACTTCAATATAGAAAAAAAAAGAATTTACAGAAAGCAAGAAAAAAGCGTTTCCTTTTACAAATAGGCAGATATTCTAGACTTTCATTATTAAAATGAATCTGTCTTAAAATATTATATGTAAATATTTAAAAAAATATTTCATTGCTTAACTCAGGGATTGGCAGGGATTTGGCCTGCCTCTTATTTTTATATGACTTTCAAGCTAAAAATGATCTTTACATATTTAATGTTTGAAACAAATCGAGAATAATATGAAATAGGTGAATATATGAAATTCAAATTTTAGTGTCTATAAAGTTTTATTAGAACAGAGCCACAGTCATTCATTTACATATGCCATGCCTGCTTTCGTGCTTTAATGGCAGCCTTATTCAATAGTTGCAACAGAGACCCTACAGCACACAATGCCTGAAGTATTTACTATCTGGACTTTTACAGAAAAGGTTTGTGAACTCGTGACTTAACGTCTTTATTTAAAAAAATAAATATTAACTAAATGCTGAGAATAACAGAAAACAAAGTAACAGCTGGACTTTGTAATTATTAAGATTTTTATACTGAAAGTCTCTCTGTGTATCTAATTGCTACAAATGTGTGTGTGTGTGTGTGATTTCTATAAGGTTTGATGATTGTTTGGCTCTTACTTGCATTATAAAAAGGTAGAATCAAGGAATGAAGTCCGCTCTTTTATCTGTTGTATCACAAGTTTGTTGGAAATCACATTTTGTAAACACATTTGGCAGAAGACATTGGGATTTAGAAAATCTCAAACCTTTGGCAAAGTGAAATGTCAGAGCTGAGCTGTACCTGAAGTTACCCTGACCCCAGGGTAAATGTTGTTCTTTCTAGTCTTGCAGAGCAAGCCTGTGTAAAGTATGGTTTGGCACTGTGTGTGTACAGACATCCAGGGAGGGGCCTCTTGCTTCATGGTATCCTCATAGAAGATTACCAAAAACCCACTGCCCTCGAGTCGATTCCGACTCATAGCGACCCTGTAGGACAGAGTAGAACTGCCCCACAGTGTTTGCAAGGAGCACCTGGTAGATTTGAACTGCTGACCTTTTGGTTAGCAGCTGTAACCCTTAACCACTATGCCACCAGGGTTTCCCATAGAAGATTACAAACTCAAAAACAGGAACCTGGTTGTATTTGTCTTTGTTGTTCTCTCACTAATCAACACAGTATCTTGAAGATAATGCTTAGTAAATATTTGGCTTGAATTGAAATCTCCATGAGGAATTGGTTTACTGTAATAATAACTTGGGGATAATGAGAATTACACTACCACACAAAAGAGCTAAACTATGTGTTTCCATTTGAGAAGGGTACAGAGTTGCTTCTCGCACTTGACAGATGCCTAAAATCCCTTACTTGAGAACAAAGTGTGCTATCTTTCAGCACAAACACCGTATTTGCTGCTCTTCTTAAAATTTGTCTTAAGTGTTCCTAGGTCATTATATTTCAAGATAACTTTAAATTCTGTCAAGTCTCCCTTACAATTCTTCTGAGATTCCAATTGGAAATATATTATTTTGTTTGGAAATATATATATATATATTAATTTGGAGAAACCTGATATCATTACCATGTTAAATTAATGCCATCCATTGTAATAGGCCTTCTTCAAATTTCCTTTATTAGAATATAATTTGTTCTCTATGAAAGTCTTCTGTATTTCTTATGAGGATTACTCCTAGACACTTCATAGCTTTTCTTCTGTTAAAATTCTTTCACTCTTTCTGTCACATTTTCTAATGTATTACTGGAGTTTTTGTCTTGATCTGGTATTGAGATAACTTACTGAAACTTCATTTTTGTTCTATGATCTTGTCCCATTGATATTCTTGGATTTTTCTAAGTGATCATATCATCTGCAAATAATGACAGTTTTATCTCTTTGCTTCAAATCCTTATGCCTCTGATTTCTTTTTCCTATCACATTGAATAGGACAGAATCTCTCGTACAGTTTTGATGATAGTAAACTACTTGTTCTTGTGCCCAGATATAAAGGGATTATGTCACAGCTTTTTAAATAATTATGTTTGTCACAAGCTTCTGATAGGTGGTCTTTATCAAGCTGAAGAAGCTCACTTCTTTCCTAATTTTCCAAAATATTTTATCAAATTAGATGTTGAACATGACAGCTGCTTTTCCTGAGCTAATTCTATGATTTTCTTCTCCTTTAGTAATGTAATGAAATTATTTTCTGACTGTAAACTCTACTTGCATTTCTTGGCTAAATACTACTTTATTGTGGCATATTAATATTTAATATGCCACTGAATTTGGTTAGCTAACATCTGATTTAATATATTGTATATGTGCTTATGCCAGAGCCCTGGTGTACCAGTGGTTAAGAGCTTGTCTGCTAACCAAAAGGTCGGCAGCTCAAATCCACCAGCCTGTCCTTGGAAACCCTATGGGGTAGTCCTACTCTGTCCTGTAGGGTAGCTATGAGTTAGAATCAACTCGATGGCAGTGGGTTTGTTTTGTTTTGTTTTGAATGTGCTTATCAATGACATTAGCTTGTGAATTTTTTTTTTTTTTTTTCTTATTATGTTCCTATCAGGTTTGGGTGTCAATTACACCTTTGCTTACTTTTTACTCCTTTATCTATCAGTTTCTGTACAGCGTGTATTTGTAGCTCCAATGACAATTGTAAATTTGCTTACCTATCTTAGTAATTCTGTCAGTTTAGACTTATATTTTATAAGCGTATAATATTTGGAGCATAAATGCTGATGATCACTACAATTTCTTGATCTCTGGTTTTTGTTTTGTTTTTTTAAGTTGTACCTCCATTTTCTTCTTGTGAAGTTTTTGATCCATTCTATATTTGCAGATAGAAAATTACTACCCCATCATTTTCTTTTGGTTCATATTTAGATACATTTTTCCCATTCCATTATTTTGAAAATATAAGTGTTTTTCTTGACAGTATAGTGCATGATCTCATTTTTTAAACTCACATCTGAGAACATCCGCTTTTCATTTGTGAATTTAAGCCATTTATATTTATTTTTACCCTTCTACTAGGACTTATTTCATCTACCTTAGCTCATATATTTTTACTAAGTTTTCTTTTTGTTTTTGTTCTTTTTTCATTCCTTTCCTAAATTCCATTGGATACATTTAGTTTTCTTCTGCTGGTAAGAAAACTGTGCATTTTATACGTAATCTTTGGTGACTATTGCTGACTTACCAAGAACCATACTTAATTTTATCCTCTGTTTGCCTGATAAAACAGTAAGTGTTGACTATACAACTAATTGGGAATTTCAGGAATTTTTAAGAGTAGGTTTTTGACGGGTTATACCACTCTCTAAAATCACATAAATTGATGAGAAAATTTTTGATTCAAGCTATCCTAATGAACAGGCACAAATTGCACAGCAGCTTTCTCCCTTTAACATTACTAATACTATTTTTATTATTCCTTCAGCAGTATCTATACATTTTATAGATGATGAGTCATAGGATATAAAGTTCCTATAGTCAGTGCATTCATAATGGACAACTGACTCTCTTTTTTCTGAGAAACACAGTATTGAATGATTAGAATTGATATAAAGAACTATGAAAGGGAAAAGAGTGAGATTATTGCAAAGGTAGTAGGATTTGAATTCTCTTTTCATCCAGGTGAGAGGACACGTTTGCTTATTTGCTTTAATATAACTTAGGTGAATAAATACCTGCTCCAATGTGGAAAGTACCTACATTAACTGCAGATAGTAAATTATGGAAGACCAGGGGAATTTTACTGTGATGCCTCCTGCTACAACTAAGTCTCTTGGCTCTTTCCTCATTAAAGTTTAGCCTGCCTTTATTTTTCTTTGAACTATAAATGACATCGGCCACTCCTTAGCTTAACTCCAGGGACTAATGATTTTTTTTTTTAATTTTACAGAGAGAATAACACATGACCTTTGTTACCCAGAAATAAGTTCTTACTTCTCTTCCTTCTTACACTTACTGCAAGTGTAGATTAGAGTGTGACCAATCATTGTCCTTCTAACTTGATTATCTATGTAACTGTAATGCAAATATTTGGTTTATAAAATCATTCATTTTTAGACTCTGCTCTGGGTGTAATTTGCCTCCTTGGGTCTTGTACAATTGCATGTGTGTTGTTTTGAATATTTTTCCATGTTACTGCCCATTTCAGACAGAGAGTAAGCCCTAACCAAGTGTCTCTGTCTTCTGAAATCTTACAACATAGGTATACCATTTTCATGGTGCTTACCGTTTAAAAAGTTTCATTAGAATTATTTTTGTTCATGTGCAGATGTAGACACAAAACTGTTATTTGTGTTCTTCCAGGGTGGATGTTCAATTAATATTTATTGGAGCAATCAACTGGAACTACGTGATATTTTGCATACATGGGTATTTCTGCCTGTGTTTTAGTACAATGTTTGGATAATTTCCTAATACATCAGTGTTGCCAAACAGTAGCATCTGTCCTTCCACTTTTACACTTTACCAAACATACCTCTTCCTTATTCTTCACTCACCTGATCACACCACTCTTGCCACACAAGAGATACACAAAACCTCTTCCCAGCCTTTTATTTCCGTTAGGCCATCCTGTGTTTCCTCGTTAGTCTGAAGCCAACAGCAGCGGCATTATTTCTAGCTGCTAAAAACTCACAAAGAATGTTCAGGGATGAATGGGTTTTTGCAGAATTATCGAAGGTCTTTCTGGCCATTGGGCAGAGGTAGAATTCACTTTGAGTTGATAAGGCAATCCTGTAACGTACTTCTTTTACTTTAACTTGTTCAGGCTTTAATAAACCAAAATAATTCATTCACACTCAGGTGGGACTTGTACTCTAATTTGGACATATAACTAAACATGTATTCAATCCTTTCTGAACCGGTATATTAAAGTTAAACAAAGTAGATGGCTACTGCTGGTTATTATTTTTCAGAAATACACTAGTTGACGGAAGATTTGCACTGGAAAGGGTACGCACTGGGAATTAGTCAAAACTAGAATTGAATCCTGAATCTGCAATTTATAAACTGTTATTTAATTTCTATGATCTTAGATGTCCCAGTTTGTGAAAGATGAACTGTAATTTATATGAAGCAGCCAGCACAGTGCTTCTACATAGTACTCACTCAATAAATTGCATTTACTTTCCGAAGTATCAAAACCTACACTTTCTTCATTTCCACTATCTCATTTCTATTTGAGAGGAAAACATGTAGATGGCTGAAATTACTGAAGTCAGTTAGATTGTGTTAAATTCTTCCTGTCTCTACCTCTAATGAAGAGTTGAAGAAATGGACAGAAACACTGTTGTTTCATATTACAATGACCCAATATATAAGATACATAAACATTGCTAAAGGACAAAAAAATGTTCAAATCTTAAGAAACATTTTAGTCTATGATTTTTCTAACAATTCCTTTAATATATGATCTGGAATAAGGAAAAGATTGTTAGAGTAAAAGAGATGATACAAAAAATATCATAAACACACAGCCAAGGCATTATACGTTGTCATGTAGATTCATTCTAAGGACCTTTTCGTTTATTTCTTAACCGGATATTTGATGGAAAAAATAATCCCTTACTCTACTCCACTAAAGACCTGGCAATAAATCCTGCTTTTTTTAAATGAAAAATACAGCTTAAACTGTCCCTAATTTACTACCTGGCTGCACCTAATAGATGTTGAAAACACAAAAGCAGGGTGTCAGCAAAGCTGTAAATACCTGAGAATAAAAGCGTAGCGCCAATACACGTAAATAGAAATTCTGTTCAGACATGCTAGAGACTTGGGCAGAAACTAACAGAATCTAACTTCAGTAATTTTAGCCATCTACATTTTTTTCTCTTATATAAACAATTAATGTTTTGTTTTCCTTTTTTAAAGAGATTCATGTGGAGATTTTACTTGTTCCCTCTAAGCCTACTTAATATCAAACTGGCACATGGCTGAAGTGAATAAAATCTTCAATTTACTTTTTGGTTCTAGAACTACTATTAGGTAGGAGGGGCATCTCTGAATACTTGACAAAACTCCAAAAGTGCTTTTTTTTTAAACAATAAAAGAAGATAAATGCCAACATATGCCCTCAATTTCAGACTCACTACCTATTGTATCATTTTCCCAATATTATTCTAAATCATGGGAAAAAAATCAGAATAAAGATGTCAAAAAAGGAATTTTCACTTTCAAAAGTCTGAGCTGGAAAAGGGAGGCGTGCCTAAGGTTTCAGACATCAAGTTCATCTCACGAATTGTTTTTGGTAGTGGTGAATTCCAAAATACTGGAATAAAAATGAAAAAGTGCCTGCACATGGAGGTGAGTAGCAAAGCAGATTAAACTGTCAAAGGATACGTGTAAGCAGTGATGGATAAAATTAAGTGAAAGACAGACATTACTGAAGATCCTATTTCAAGTCACAAAATCGACACTCAGAGGGGATTAAACAAACATGCAATCTCACATAACAGAGTTCAAGAATATCAGCGGTATCATCAGGGCACAGTCTCTTTTCATCCCTCCCACCTGCCATCCTTTATGTTGGCTTTGTCTTTGGAATGCCAGCAGTATGACTGTTTAGTTCCAGCCATGTAAAATGGTAATGCAGCCATCCCTTCCCAGTTTTACCAAGAGCAAGAAAAATTTTTTCAGTGGAAACCACCCCAACCCCACCCTGCACCCTCAGCTTCTCCCCCAGTCTCCCTGACCAGAACTGAGTCATGTGCCCATTCCTGAGCCAGTCACTGGCAAGAAGAATGGAATTTCCATGACTAGATTCGATTAAACAGTGTCTACACTCAAGCTGTGGGGCTCGGTGGTTAAGAGTTTGGCTGCTGACCAAAAGGTCAGCAGTTCAAATCTACCAGCTGCTCCTTGGAAACCCTGTGGGGCAGTTTTACTCTGTCCTATAGGGTTGTTGTGAGTCGAAATTGACTCGATGGCATCAGGCAGGCACGCTAAAGCTGGGGAGAGCATCTTCGTCTGTACTACGTGGAGGAGAGGTAGATACAAAAGCAAAATAGAGTTCTTATTAGAAAGAAAAAAGGGACAAATTAAAAGAGTTTAGGAAATCAAGGGTATTCAGTATTATATATTCCATGATCCAAGAGCGGACGAAGGGGAAATAGCTGGACGTGAGAACCAAATGGGAAGAGAAGGTAAATTAATTCTGTGTCCACTATTTAGAAAAGAAGGAGAATGTATAGGACCCTGGAAGATGATGAGAATTGAGTTAAAGTGACAAAACATTGTTGAAATACAACTTTTGTCATAAAAGTTCATACTGGGCAAAATAAGTGAAGCTTTGTATGAATATGATACACTTCACAACCATTTGGCATACAAAGAAAATCAAAAGTAAATGACTGGCATTTAAAAAAAAAAACCATTTCATAAACTATTTATTGATAGTATTTACTGAAATCTCCCTAGATGTTCTAGATGTTCGGAATAGCAGTAAAGACTTTGAAGTTTGAATAGATGATAAAGGATGATGGCTATGCTACTTTTTTCCATTTATGCTTCTGAATTAGGTTTCTGTTATCAGTGGAACCTATCTTGGCTTGGATTACATGAGTAAGCAAAATGGAGGTGAAGGTGGTATCATTATCAATATGTCATCTATAGCAGGTAAGGACGATTATAATGTTATCATTAACATTTTCTTATCAGTAATTTGAAACACAAAAATTAACCTTCCAAGTTATTATCTCCTCGTGTTTGAAATTGAAGCTTTGTTTATTTTGTTTGTTTTTTAATGATTCTGTGGATTTTTCTATTGAATGACATCACAAGTTTGAAGAACATACTGATTTCTGTTATTTTCAGTTAGGGTTTTTTAAGTTATCTTATTATACTACTATTTAAAATATATTTACATATATTTTTACATTGTCACTATTCCTCAAGTGTTGTTGTAAGACTCGTAAGTAATAATGCATGTGAAAGCACCTTTGACAAAGCAAAAATACTATAACAAAGTTAAGGTGTCTCCACTCGCATGTGATTTTAGTAAGACCAGTAATTTTAAAATATGGTGTACATGTTTGTTGAGGTATGCTAAACTGCTATAATAAATACATCCAAACGTGCTGGTGTAAATATAATATAAGCTTATTCCTCACTAATGTATCAGCCAAGGGAAAGATTCTTGGTGTGGGGCATCTCTATTTGGAAAATCAGGCAAAGAGTAACTCCGCCATCTTCAACATGGAGCCACCCACGTTACTCTGGCCCTGGTGAACGCCTCTGCCTCTAACAGAAAAGAAAAGAGCATGGAGGAAGCATACCTGCTCTTTTCAAGCCTTCATCCCAGTAACGGCCAATCTCACTTCTGTTCCCATTCTTCTAGAACTCAATCTCATAGCTCATCTACATACAAGAGAGTCTGGGAAATGTAGCCTGGCTGTGTGCCGGTGGACAGAAGGCATTTCAGTGGAAAGCTCATCATCTTTCCCACAGCATGAAATCCAAAACTATGTTTTCTTCAGAACAGTATGATGTGATGTAAGCTACTGTAATATCACTCAATAGCAGCTATAAACATTTGGTAGGCATTTTTGGAGCAACTTAACCAAGTGACTTTTAAAGTTCTAGAAGAAAATCTTATATGATCAGTGGTTCTTGAATAAAGCAAAAGTCTGTAAACCTACCAAACCCAAGCAAACAAACAAACAAACCCATTACCTTCAAATTAATTCCAGCACATGGTGGTACGTTGATTCCAACTCTTGGTGACACTGTGTGTAACAGAGTAGAACTAATCCATAGTGTTTTCTTGGGTGCAGTCTTTAAGGATGCAGATGTCCAGGCCTTTCTGCCACAGTGCTGTTGGGTGGGTTCGAACCACCAACCTTTAAGTTAGTAGTCATGCACAAACCGTTTGTGCCACCCCAGGATCTGTAAACCTGCCACCAGTGGGGATGTTGAGAAGGATTTCTCTAGAAGTGCTCAAACATAGACGAGTATCTCATTTTCTGAGAAATAGACTTGCATCTCTGGATTTCCTAAAGATAAAATAGCATTCGTTAAAGCTATTACAGACCTAATTCTGTAACTTTTTCAGGGTTATCTGGTTATTTTTCCTAATAATTTATGACATCTACTCATAAATTATAACATTTCAATTCTAAGGATACATTAAAAGGTGAGAGCAGTACTTGAAAGAGAGATGACTCCACAGAGGGCCAAAGTTTAGGTCCTGGAGGAATGAATCACTGAAGGAAAATTGGCAAAGCTAAATCTACACTGTTTTGAAAAAAATATAAATGATTGGATAATTAAGAGGAAATAGGTAAGTATTTTATTAAAAGTATAAATGTAAGAAAACCTGGGGTGGTGATCAAGAGATAATTCCTTAGATTTTCCCTCTAAAGGAAGAGGGCTAGCAAAGCTTGGAGAACCTGAAGCTACACAGGGAGCCCCTTGCCCTTATGTTACTGGAGATGCTGGGTTCATTCTTGGGAAGGATGGAACGACTCAGGGTTGGATCAATTTGGGGCTCTCTGGAGAGGCTCTATACCATAAGAAGAAGGCTTATTTGCCCCAAAGAGCATGGATGGAGAAATGTAATGTAGTGCTACTATATAATAAGAATTTACATGTATTGAGCACTTACTGTTTACCTGATACTGTTTGAAAATACCGTGCATGCATTCCCTCATTCAACCTCCACAACAACCCTATGAAGTAGAGTCTGTAACCTCCAGTTTGCAGATGAAGAAACTAAGGCAGGAGAGTTTAAGTACCTTTCCCAAGCTTACACAGCAAGTAAGAGACAGAGCTGGAATTCACATGCAATCAGCCTGACACAAGACCTCTTACTCTTAACCCCTACGTTATCCGTTTCTTCTATCTATGAGTTGTATGTCTGTCAGTCTATCTCAGCCTAACAGGGAAGTAAAAGAAACTGAAATCCTGTGACTTGAAAAACTGGTCCAATTTGTTGGTCTCTTCAGGCCTTGTGGGGCCTGCTTTAATCTCAAGGCTACGTTACTAAAACTTCAGTGAAATCTTTAACTTCTGCTCTGCCATTTGACACACATGATAAAGTCTGAAAAACATTCAGGAGCCTACCAGAGTCTCAAGTCAAAACATGCCATTGAGAAGAGCAATTTAAGGCTTACAAAGTGATGCCCACTTTGCCTTCTTGGCTGAGAGCTTGCTTTATCACACTAGCTACCCCTGGTTGTTAATTCTGTTCTTAATATTTGGAACCATGTGTGGGTCTTTCTTTAATCATGCTGATAAAATAGCAAGTGGATATAAATTCAGTGATGAGATTGTCTTGGTTTTAAATTACCTTAGTGACTATCACAGCATTCCAAACTGCTTCTCCCTCTGATATCCATCCCAACACACAGGGCCACCCCATTAAGATGGTCAAGTAGTTTTAGTTTATCGTTGCCCATTCTGCTGGATTTTATACCCTCTCTATTTTAAAGGAGCCCCGGTGGCACAGTGGTTAAGAGCTTGGCTGCTAACCAAAAGGTCAGCAATTCAAACCACCAGCTGCTCCTTGGAAACCCTATGGGGCAGTTCTACTCTGTCCTGTAGGGTCGCTATGAGTCAAAATCAACTCAATGGCAATGGGTTTGGTTTTTCGGTTTTTCTATTCTAGAAGAAGTCCCTGGGTGGCACAGATGGCTAAGCACTTGACTACTAGCTGCTTGACTACTAGCCAAAGGGTTGGTAGTTTGAATCCACCTAGAGGTGCTTTAGCAGCAAGGCCTGGTGATCTGCTTCCAAAAGATCACAGCCATGAAGACCCTATGAAGCACAGTTCTTCTCTGCATGCATGGGTTCACCATGAGTTGGGTTGACTGGATGGGAACTGACAACCGCCATTTTGGAAGTTTGCCCTTAGTGTCCTCCCTTCAGAATGCCTGAGCTCCATCCCGGATGGTTTAGACCGTTTCCGTATTGCCGCTGGCTGATCTGGACAGTCCCCCAACCCAGGGCTGTCACTAACATGCTTCCATCTCACCGACAATATTAAAATGTACTGCCTTGTATTCAGTTGCCAAGAGCCTCTGTTCTTCCTATAAGGAAATTAGTTTGAAAAAAACACAGGATTTTGTATTAATGGAAGAAGGTAAAATAAGATCCTTCTGTCTTCGCCTTTTTCTCAGAAATGCCATCAACTATTTTATGCCCTTGAGGTCAGAGCATGGGGGCAGAGGTCAAAGGACCAGAAAAGCCTGAGAAGTTGTAAGATTCAAAGCATTTCTAATGTCTGCTTCCTCTGTTTTCCAGACCTTCTTCACTCACAGATTTTTCTCGATCCCCCCTTCCCCGCTTACTGCTGACTCTATTAAAGGAATGGTTGTGGATAATATTCAACTCAACCAGTATCTGTCCTCACGATCTCTGCCTGGATTCAGTGGAGTCCTTCCCTGTCATAGGGAAACCTTAAGTTAACACACTGGTTTGGGCAGAAAAGTTAATGAGTAATGACCACTGACGTAGACAGAATATCACAGGCAATTAATAAGTTTAACAAACAGAAGAGTATGTAAAGTGGAGAGTGATTCCTCGGCATACTGAGGGAAGGGTGTGCTCCAGTCGGGAGCTCCAAAAATATTCTGGTCATTGTTAATCACGCAGACTCTTCTATAGAAGCCTTTCTTCATGCATTCATTTTGTCAATCCATCTGTAACTACATATATTTTAAAAATTTTTAAAAAGGGAAGGATCAACAGAGAAGAATGCAGTATGGTTAAATGGAGATAATGAAATAGCTACGCTTCCATAAGACACCCTGTAATGGTCAAATGTGCTTCCTACATCATCAGATGTTTCAAAATGTGGGAAAGGAAGAGTAGTTGTTGTCACGGGGGAGGGATTTGGCCCCGCAACCCCCTTCCCACCTGCCTTCACACTCAGCTACTAAGGTCTTGGCTTTCACTGGGGATGGTCTCAGTGACTCAAGAAACAAGTCAGTCAGCGGCATTTTGTGAGAGTTACTGCACCGATCTTACTCGGAATTTAAAACTTTAGAGCCTTGAAGATCATAGGTTTTGTTTGTTTGTTTAGCATGTCTTAATTACCCACTTGAGCTGTAAGTTTTATCTAAAATAAGCATAAACTTGTAGTTTGTATCAACGTAGAAGTACTAAAGTGAATAAATAACAAATTTGTTATTTGACGTTGAACAATTAATTTGAAACAGGCTACGTACTTGAAAAATATTGTGAGAATTAGCAGTGGTAATAAAAGCCATTTCAGTCTGCTGTATTTTAGTGTATGTCATGGAACGGATGAACTATTCCACTGTTACCACTCTTCCTATTTAGTACTGGCTAAATTCTCCAAGGATCTGTTTTGCTGTCTGTGGATAATAGTCAACTCAACCAGGATCTGTCCTCATGATCTCTGCATAGATTCAGTGGAGTCCTTCCCTATCATAGGGAAACCTTAAGTTAACACACGGGTTGCTGTCTTATGGCTTAAAATTATTAGGAAGACACAGACTAGAAGGAATCAGTAGGAAAGATTAAATGTTTATAAATGGGCCTTTGGATAAACAGATAAAAGATTTAGTTTCTTAGCATGGGAAAAAGAGGGCTATTAGGAAATGAATAGACCTTTGAACAGTGCATCTCAAAAGAGCACTCATACATGTTACCCA